TAAAAAAACAACCTGCACTACAAACTCATGTTTTGAAATATCAGTTTTGACACAACAAATGAAAGTAAGCTGAATTCTACCTTTTTACCAAATTGGTTATTTTCAAATTTAGGCATGTTTAAATAAGCAGCGATAATTTGTAATGGCAGTAAGGGACGATGATGACTAATGAGGCTTTTAGTGTGTGTTTAAGTTGTTTTCCTGTTTCAAAAATGCCTTCTGATGAGCTGCTGCCACTTATACATATATCATCACATGGGGTAGCGGTATTAAGGGGCAAATTTGTGCTTCCCAGCTAGATCAGATTTGTATAGAGCAAAAGCAAATAAGCCCTACACTCAAATAAATAAATCAAGATGGGATTTTTATCGTAATTTTTTTCCACCCGCCGCATAACAAACCCAAGTTGCATTTTCGTGGGAGTATCATGATCAAAGTACCGAAGTCTCACGCAGATGAGAAACAAGGTTATACATGGAATAAAATTTTATTTCTTTTCTTCTCTTCGATCAATAATCTCACTTACAATTCTTTGGGAATCACACACATCTAATGGAAAAAAAGAATTAATTTTATTTTTGTTCAGCCCTCCTCAAAAAAATTGCCTTATAAAAACTCGAGAAACAAGGAATAAAAAAAGTCTGGCCTAATGAGCAGTGAGTAATTTACTATTCATGGTCAAAGCAAATTCAGGACATGATATGCAAAATTAACAAACCATCAGTATTTGGTCATAATTGTTTCTCAGAAATGCATTCAATTTTTATTCTATACCCCATATTTATGACACAACACTTGAAGTTGTACATTAAAATAGGAACAAATTCTTCGTGGAGTATTCATGGTGAAGTTGAATATTGATAAATATCGTAAGGTTGAAAAAATACCGTAAATTTGAAAAATACAAGTTGTGAAGTTCAACTAGCTCAACCAAATATAGCGAGAAACTGAACTATCGCGAGAATATGCAAATTCGTGAAGGAACGAGAAATGCAAATTAATCAAGTCAATAAATCATGCATAATGCTTCACATTAAGCATTCATATAAGCAGTATTGACTCTAAACTTGAAACTACTTGGAGATCTATATTTAAAGCGCAGGTAGTCGTCGCATTTGTGTTGATAAACATTGATTTTCCCACAATCCAATGCGTTCTTCAAATGGAAATCAAAAGTATGAGGTTTGACCTGGGCGCGACTTGCACTGATTACTGTCGGTGACTCCTTCAATACCTTCCAATCGCATGAAAATTGCCTAATTAAAGCTTGGAAACGTCTCAGTTCGTACTCGTTGATCTGCGCATCAGTCAAAGTTGCCATCTTTGTTTATATGAGACCCATATATCTCGCACATGCGCAGCGCGACGACTACTGCGTTTCAAAGAATGTACTTGATCCATGGATATACTAATTTGCATATCAATAGGTAATAGCCCGAGACGCTCTACTGATTATTGAAATTGAAATTAAATCCTCTGTGACCAATGCTTCGATATTAAGTATTAAAATACAAGTAGATACATGTCGTTATATGTCGTTATATTTCTCAAGTGTTTTTATACTTGTCTGCATGTATGGCTATATTTAAAGTACAAGTCATGCAAATATGCAATTGGGGGATTATCAAAACACGGACTACTTTCAAATTTTGCTGCAGTTATGAGGGTTTTTTGTTGATAATAGATCTTTGAAAATTTTCATATACTCTGATAGATATGTAACCTGATTAAAATAAGATCCTATTTTTTTTTCATATTTTTTTTATATGCTTTTAATTATTTATTTATATCATGCACTTTCTTTTAATTATATTATTTGAATTATTTATTTATTTGACAGTAGTTTTTTAAAAGTTTTGGTGATTGCGAAAGCCCACAAGTGGCGATTGTTAAAGTAATACAAAATAAGATGTATCTAGTAATAATAAAAACGACTACAAAATAATAAAAATCTGCAGTGAAATAAAATAGATAAAATTATATTATCAGATTTTAATAATATAGTGAAAATAACAAAATTTTAGAACCCAGTGAAAAATTCATGTTTTATAATATGGGTACACAGGGGTTTTTCTCGGAAAAAACTGCAAGAGGGAGCACTGCAATTTAGTGGCGCCACCAAGCGGGGGAGATCGGGTTCTAAGTTATATTCTAAGTTAAAATGGAGCATTCTATGGCTTCCTTGGAGCCAAAATTACTATCAGACAGGTCACAGGTGAAGACTATGGCCACATGTGATTTCTGGTCAATCAGAATTTTATGGCCATGGCATGAGGGCACTGCGCCCCTGTTCCCTTGTTTAAAAAAATCCCTGGGTACATATGGAATCTCTGTCAAGCATCCCATGCTCAAAGAATATATTCATATCAGGTTGTTCTGATCATGATCAATATGATGGTTAATTAAAATAATATAATTTTGAATACATTTGTATGGCTATTAAGTTATAGTGGCAATTGATGCTAGGGATTCATTGTAAAAGTTGTGCATACATTGGAAGACGTTTATGGATTTCTTTAATCTCTTCTATGTTTGCAAACAGTCTATCAAAAAGTACATTTAAATTAAAATATTTGCACAATATCATGGTTGTGCAATTTCAAGTAGTGGAAACATCTTCTTACTTCTCACTATGTACTTATATCAGTGTGGTTGTATTATTTACTTCAATCAGTACAGCCACATCAAGCATCTACCTACTAGACTTTAACTTTGTGTCATGATTAATTCTTTTCAATTAAATATAAGTATGTAACAGATTTGTGAATAGTACATGTCAGGTTAAATCTGTCCTGCTTCTTTGAATACCAATCGCTCTAAAGTGTTTATGATTCATTGCATTTCATTCAATTGAAATCAATATTGCATAGTTTCTGATTCATTTCAGAATCGTTGCCATGCCCTTAATAGAGGTTGGTCATATTTCACTGATAAACGCAGCAGCTATTACTACAGTACAGTGCGAGTGTAACTTAAAGCACGCTGGTCGTGCGCAGCGCGATGTTCAAATTTCATTAAATAAACAATGTATTTTACAAGCGTTGTATACGTCGCTATGAGTCCCATATCGAACAGGACGCGGCACGACGACTGCCGCCCTTTAACTTCAAATTAAGCTGACTATCAACGGGCTGTGCCTTTCATAAAAACTTATTAAATAATTTCAACTTATTCATTGTAGTATTTAGTATATGAGAAATATTTAGGAAGATTCTGCTGCACAATTTATATATGTGGTAACTTTCTAAACAAGTTATGAGCTCCAAGCCAACTTAAAGCTAACTACACTTTAACCTTCTCACCACCAGACTTTTTCGGTCAAATTTTTTTCTTATTTCTTCAATATTTCTGGAAATGAACCCTAATTTTGGAGCCAACAGACAAAAATTGGGTAAATTTTCAGTTTTCACTTAAAGCGGTCGTCGCATCGCGTGTTCGAATTTCATGTAAATAAACAATGTATTTTACACGTGTTGTATACGTTGTTATAAGTCTCATATCGAACAGAACGCGACGCAACGACTGTCGTCCTTTAAAAAATTTGGCTATTTTTTTTCCAATCTTTCGAAAGAAAATGCAAACTACAAACAGGACTAGTGTGTGAATTTGTGATGAAAAGGGAGAACTGGTGGTGAAATGTTACATGTATGTTACGCTTAGGCCATATTATATACTGCTTAATTAACATAAATATATATTCAAATAGTCTAGCGCAAGTTAAATTCATGTACCAATTTTATTGCAGGATAAACTATTTGTGAAATACACATGAAATTTTGAAACAACTAGTTTAATTGGGTTTGATAATAAAATTGTATCTCTTTAAACACACACGCCCCTCTCACTTGATTAATGTCCAGACCATGATGATGCAATATATAATAAAACACAGACACACATGTAATTAATTTCTCATCTGTTTGTTGTTTATTTTACTGAGTGGAAATGTTTTATTGATGTCTCTATGTTACCGTCCTGGTCGCACAATAAAATGTGTTTATTTCTCCGCAGAGCGTTAACTATGACGTCATAGAGAATGATCCGTACCTACGAGATGAGCAGGCCAGCGGATATAAGGTAAGCCTGATTACCCGATGAACGTGATTTGCTGTGAAACCCTGTTGTTGCAGTATTTCAAGTTTATCCTACATTACAGTCTTCAAATTATTCAAGACCCTGCATTAAATGCAATTTGAATGCATGAAATAATCGAAAGTACATATGAAGTACATTTTTTTTTAGCTTAAAATCATAAATTTTTTATTTATAATCACGGTGCTCTGTTTTGTGCAACAATAAGTTTTTATTATGGTCAGTTTAGCCTTGAGTACTCTTCAATCCTCTGCATCCCCAGTGGACATAAGGCTGTCTTGGGTACTACTACAGAATAATATAAAAATCATGGTTTATTAATTTTACAACATAATAGAGTGTTTTAATTGACATCACACTAGACAGATGACTTTGTATATTAATGAATGCATTGAAAAAGAGCACTTAGCAATAGCTATAGGTTAATAAAAAATGATTTTTAGCTCCGCTGTCGACTTTGTCGAGCGGAGCATATCATATGAGTGATTGTTCGTCGTCGTCCGTGTCAATGTTTTACTTTTTCGACTTCTTCTTGAAAACTACAAGCCTGAATGCTTTGATACTTGGTGTATATGTACCTTGGGTAGACCTCTCTTAGGTTTGTTCATTTCATGTTGATATCTTCAATTCTCTAATTTTGGTGAATATTTTTGTCATTTTTGGTAAAAAGTGATATTTTCGACTTCTTGTTAAAAACAGCAAGTCCAATTGCTTTGATACTACATATATAGGTACTACATGTGGACCTCTCTCAGATTTGTTAATTTTGTAATGATATCTTTAATTCTCTAATTTTGGTGAATATTTTTGTCATTTTGGGTAAAAAGTGATATTTTCGACTTCTTGTTAAAAACCGCAAGTCCAATTGCTTTGATATTACATATATAGGTACTACATGTGGACCTCTCTCAGATTTGTTAATTTTGTAATGATATCTTTAATTCTCTAATTTTGGTGAATATTTTTGTAATTTTTGGTAAAAAGTGATATTTTCGACTTGTTAAAAACCAAAAGTTCAATTG